CAACATAGATTGTGTGGGACACACTACCTCGGTAGTAGGTAGCAGGTGGTAATCTCAAGATTCCTCACCTGTTTTACTAAGAGATACGATGAAAGAGATATTAGAACCTTAGCAGTGCTTTTTATATGAATGTCATCCCCTAGACCTTTGGATGGTGTAAGCAACTGCGTGTATTGAAGGAGACTGTTCTCCTGAGGCCCTTACTCAGTTAAGCTTAAACCAGGCAAAGATCTACAACAACGCTTTAGGCTCTGCCAACCCAAATATCCCATAGAAATGTTGGATACAAGATCAAATAAAATAGTAGATGATATCTACAATCCTAATTAGATGAATTTAATAAGTAATGATCGGGCATTGATAGTACAAGATTACTGATGGAATTAATGAGTGTCTGTAGATACTCAGATAAATTCCTGCCGCAGTGCTGCCCCGATAAAGAAAAGGCAGTTGACAAGATTAGGTTGACTTGGTCCTATTTGGCTTATGTGATGGTTTCTTACCTAGATTTTGTTGCTGTGTTATAGTCCACAATCACTTTGACTTAAAAGGAGGCTAATTGCTTAATTCTTAAGCTGTGCAAAAGAAGAGCTTTTATTTACTCCTTTTATTTAACACTGTCCTTGAATGGCTGGGTAAATTAGGGTTAATTGTATACTGCAATATATGAGATCAGGAATGTGTGAGGTTAAACTATTACTCTATGCTGACAATATACATTATTTATATCAGATTGACAAAAATATTTTCCTTATATATTGGACATGGTAGTGAACTTTAGGTTATGTTCCTGGCATAAATCAATTGGACTGAATTTTGAGATGATGGCAATCTCCCAAAGTATAAGAAAGACAAAACTAATCAATAGCTCTTTTCAATGGCATTAGACTAGTTGTAAATAGTCAGATGTTTCGTTTCCTAGGAAAAGTAATGAAATTGTTAGAGCTAGTCTTAATCCTTTAATTATGGAACTGACTAATGACTTAAACAGATGGTAGGCTTTCCCCCCTCTCATTATGGGGGAAGGTTAAATACAATTTAGAATGAATATATTACCCAGCCTTCTTTCCACCCTGAGTGCATTACCAGTTTCTGTTCTCTCTCTCTTGCTTTTTTTAAAAAAATGTAATATGTTTCAAGTTCTTTGGGATTAAGAAAGAAACAAAAAAAGTCATTAAAAGAATTTAGGAGCCTTATACTATCCAACATTATGTTGCATTATATCCTTGCTATCTTGGGGGCAGGTGGCTTGATTGCTAAATCATTAGTTTTTAGGGTCCTCAGTGTGGCAATAGAGAGAAGAGAATTAGTATCTTACCTGCATTTATAGGGCATTTTGAATTCTGATAACTTGTCTCCTCCAGGACATTTGCCATGCTTGGAGGCAGCTGGAAATGTCCTTTCCCATAGGCAGAATTTTCAGCTAGGCTAAGCTGCAAATACCTGATGCTAAACCACCTCTGCTGTGGGAGAACTGGCACAGAAAGCCCTACAAGTCTTGTGGAAGTTGACAAGTACATGGCTTTTGTAGATCTTGAGGAGAAACATGCACTGAAGTGTGAGAAGCAGTTGATACCTGAGAGAGAGCAAAACTTAAGCATACAATTTGGGACCAAATATTGTCACTGTGTTGAATCCTCTAGGACCCTTTTTGTTGCAGTTCTGTGGCCCCTTTCAGCAAGATTAGAAATGCTATGAGCAGACAGAACCTACGTAAAAATGTAACCACCACTGGTGTAGCTACCAACCAGTGGCATCTCATGGTTGAATTCATTGTTCAATCTAAACTCACATGATACGGCTCATATGATTTAGTCTTCTGATAGCCTTCACAGAAATTACTAGGAGGAGGTATTAGACCCATGTAAATAATTTTAATCTGATTCTGTATGAAGCACTAATCACTGATGCTGTCTGTGAGGATACTGGGATAACTTGTGGGATCGTGATGTGAATCTTCCTCTCAGTGATCCCTCTTCCTTCTTACCTTCTAGCTGTTTATTTTCCCCTGCTTCATCTCTCTCTATTTTTATTACTCTTTCTGCCAGCTAAATTTTATGTGATGTGTTTAAATTAGTATGATAAGTAGTTTTACTCATTGTATGGTAATATCTGTCACCATAAAAGAAATTCAAGAAAAACCGGAGGAATCGAAAGTAATATTGGCCTTATTCCTGAAAATGTTTGTATGACGTTAAGAACAATTTGGGATAAAGACAGCAGTGTCAGCAAACTGCCAAATGACAGCATTCATACTGTAATTCTGTCTTCCTGTCAGGACATTATGCAATATATTTTTATTACAGATCATATTTTAATAGGCAGTTCTGATAATCTCATTTACAAATTAGCCTATTATAAAGGGACATTGATTTTTACACTTACTTTCAAAATATTGCTGTTTTGTATCAGCAAGTACTACATATATTCTACAGCAAACTATTCCAAAGATCTTGTGCTGTAGTTGTTTGGGACTTGTAAAGTATATTTGTGCACACTCGCATGGCAGCTAGCCATACAAGATAGGAATAATGTTCCTAGTTTTACTCCAGCTTCTGCCTGCAAATGTGAACAGAATTGTTTTGCTGGATGGGCACAATATTTGGTGTGCATCTTGTCTCTTTTATGCTTTTTCTCTTTGGTCATCCTGTTTCTTTGTTTTGCTCTGTTTCTTTTTCTAATTACCCTGAAGTCAGTTTACAGAACACATCTGTAACCTTTCGTAGTGCAATAAGAACTAAGGCGACCCTTTTCTGCCACAGATTTGATTATATTCTGTGTTGAAGAAGAAATTAAAGAAAAATATCAAAGGACATGTATAGCATTCCTCATGAGAAGAAAACATTTTTTTTTTTCTTGTGTGGGCAAGACAGGGAACATTTTTCAGGAGAAAAAGAAATTCTAAAATAAGGGAGTTTGATAAACATCAGATGAGATGGGATGAATATTTTTTGGGTAGACCGACCATGGCAGCCTCACTGAAACCCACCAATTTCAGCAGCCCACCTCTGTCCGACAGAGAACTGCTTCCAAAGGGCTTGAATGAAATCTGGGTTCAGTTGAAGTCAGTGGGACTTTTGCACGATTTTTGTGGAAACTGATCTGGTTTCTGATTTCTATCTGTGCCCTAGATTAATTTTATAAATGAAATTAAAAATAATAAAATTGATACATACTTCAGAAAGAATTACCATGTACAATGTAAAATCACAATTTTTAAGATGGAAAGTATGTCTTTTAAAGATGATTCTATATGTGGTTTTTTTGTGGAGAACTACATATGGAAAAGAAATAAGGATTCATAGCTCAATGGGAAATATCATTGAATATTGATAAATTGTATTTTTCTATCACACTAGCTAGGATAAGACTAGCAAAAATACTATGTGGGAGTTGTGTAGCTATAGATAAAAATGAATATTTTTGAATTTTTTTAGTGAACTGAATTGAAGCCTACATTAAAAATGTAGTCTTGGAGTGACAAACATTGGTTTGCAAGTTTTGATCATATTCAGGTCATGCAGAAAAAAAGTGGAAGAACCACTTGAAAAAATTAGAAAACTTTGTGAAAATTTTCTTCTTTTAATGATAGAAGAAATTAGCTCAAAAATTCAGCTGAAAATGTAATTTTTTTTTT